GGTCAAGATTTAACCCAGACAAAGCCCAGGTGTATTAGCCGTGGATCAGCCGTGACCTGCATAAAGGCCTACTTAGCTGGAATCCGGATTAAGTTGGTGTGTCGTAGGTGTAGCTCAGGTGTGTGTGTGTGTGTAGTTGTTGCTCTAGTTTTAATGTAGCCTTTATATAATCGTTCAAATGGTGTGGTATGAGTGTGGCTTCACATTTAACACTTGTTGTTGAAGGACTGGTGCTGGGCTGCCTGCCAACTGTGTACATTTCTTAAGGTCTTGTTGTGAAGTACTTGTATTTGTCTATAAGTGTATTTATATTAATTATACAAGTTACATCCAGTTTCTCTATAGGGCACCGCTAGTGACCGTATCAGAATGCCTAGTGATGCAAGTCGAGGATAGGAACAAAGTATGTGTGGATAGTTTGATTGTTGTCTTAGCACTTTACTGTCACTTTGTGCGTAAGTCGAGAGGAACAAGGAGTAATTAATCAGGTGAAATGAGGGAAGGAGGTGGGTGGCCTTCAGGTGATTCGTGTAGGGTTAAAAGGTCAGTCATACACTGTTAGGATGTGACTCACTGGGCACGTGGAAGGTAAACCAGTCAAGACAGATTATCACAAACGGGACTTTCGACACACAGTTACGGTTATATTATAATTCATTTCACCATTTACCGTTTGTATAAGACTGCGAGGCGCTGTTTGTGTAAGGCTGTGTGAGGCTGTTTGTAAGACTGTGGGACGTTTCGTTTGTGGGGCTGTGTATGTAAGACTTTTTAAGTGTTTGTCAGACGTTGAATTGAATTGAAGGTTTATTTAGCCAGAAAAACACCGATACAGAGTGGAAAATAATAACAATATTAACATGGCTGAGCCAGTTGAAAACCTGCGCTCTCTTTTAGGCATGTATAGCGCTGTTCATAAGACGGTGTGTTTTTTTGCAAAGGTATTTACGACATTCAAATCTAACCAAATAATATATCTCGTGCCAAAACAAACCAAAAAGGATATCAGTTGGGTCAGGAACATAAGAATGGAGGAAACTGCAGCGGGCCATACTGGGCAGTCCCGTTTACACCCAACCCCTATTGCTCATATATCCATCCAACCTATGTTTGAAGCTATTCAGCGTATTCGAGTTAATGATGATGTTTGGTAACTTGTTCCACTCGTCTACTACTGTTTCCAAACCAGTGTTTACCTATTTCGCTCCTAAATCTAAATTTGTCTAATTTAAAACCATTGTTACGAGTTCGCTCCTGGTTGGATAGTTTGAGTACCTTTGTAATGTCCCCTTTGTTTAGCCCTGACTTCCATTTATACACCTCTATCAGGTCGCCCCTCGCTCTACGTCTCTCGAGGGGGTGCAAATTAAGATGCTTTAACCTGTCTCTGTATTCAAGGTTCCTAATGCCGGGATTAGTCTTGTCATTCTCCTCCGAATTCTTTCCAATGATTCTATATCCATTCTGTAATACGGTGACCAGAACTGAACTGCGTAATCCAGGTGTGGTCTCACAAGAGCAAGATACAGTTTTAGAATGACCTCGCTAGTCTTGCAACTAATACTCCTTTGTATGAACCCAAGTACTTGATTAGCCTTGTTACGAGCAAAAACACATTGTTTACTTGGCTTAAGGTTCCTACTTATCATTACTCCTAAATCTCTCTCGCAGTCGGATTTCTCAATAACATCGTTGTTCATCTGGTATCTGGTTTCCCTGTTTACATCTCCTATACTGAGTACTTTACATTTGTCCACGTTGAATTTCATCTGCCATTTTTCCGACCATTCGAAAAATTTGTTTAGATCTTCCTGTAGTTTTGTGGAATCCTCGTCAGATTTAATTACACGTCCTATTTTAGTGTCATCAGCAAATTTACTTATGTTGCTGTCTATGCCGATATCTATGTCGTTTATGTATATAATAAATAATAATGGTCCAAGTACCGAGCCTTGGGGAACTCCACTAGTGAAGTTGCTCCAATGGGATTTAGTGCCGTTAATGCTCACTCACTATTTCCTGTCCTGTAACCACGCCCCAATCCATATTAGAATATCTCCTTTAATGCCATGAGCCTCCACTTTTCTTATTAGTCTTTCGTGGGGGACTCTGTCGAAGGCTTTGCTGAAGTCGAGATATACCACATCATAATTGTGCCCCTCGTCCACCGATTCGAAAACAGATGAAAAAATGTTAGATTAGTTAGACATAACGCCCGCTTGTGAAGCAATGTTGGGAATCATTGATCAATTTGTGCTTCTCGATGTGATTTCGAATAGAGTTTGAAATGATTGCTTCCAATAATTTGCCTACAGTTGATGTTAGACTGATTGGGCGGTAGTTAGAGGATAGTGATCTATCCCCCTTCTTAAAAATCGGTATTCCATTCGCTGACCTCCAGGACAGACAGACAGTATGAACAACCCTCAACCACACTCACACGCTCGTCGTGGACGCTGAAGGTGCAGGAGCTGGAGGACTTCCGGTGGGTCCAGGTTTTTGCGAGGCAGCGGGGAAACTTACGGGTGGTTAACAGTCGCATATGGTGGTGCTCGGTTAATCACAACACAGCGGAAAGTTCGCCAAGTGTAGCGAATTTCAAGGATACATTTTATTTTTCGTGAATTTGTGAGGTATGGTTTGATTTGGGTGAATATTAGCGAGTTTGGCTTTTCTTTGTGAAATTTGGGGAGTCTTAAGGCGAGGTTAGCGACTCTTAGCTACTTTGGGGTTAATTGAGTGAACGGAAGCGAGTTCGGCTTTTTTGTGTCAAGTTGAGCGAGTTTTAAGATGTTCGTGAATTTGAGCGTTTTGGGGTTGATTTTTTTTGCGATATTTGGGACGATAATACAAAATTCAAGCGTTTTTGTTTTGTTTTATTGAATATTAGCGAGTGTGGTATATGCAGTTGGCTGTACAGTATATGAGAGTTTGACGAGTATGATTTGTGTAGATGACGATTTATGAGAGATTGGCGAGTGAAATTTATACAATTGGTGATGCGTGTGAGTTTGTCAAGTTGAGTTACAGTCCAGGGCGTGTGGAGAGAGAGCGCACACACGAACTCACCCGGACTTCAGCTATTTTCACTAAGGGGTTATGGTCATTGTCGCGTTCACTCTAGGGCGTAATTTTGCTCCCCATATCACGCCATCATCAGCGGAACACCTGTGGACAATATTTCACGTAAAGCTTAAATTCAAATCGTAAATATACAATTGAAGCTTCATTGAACTCTTAACGAATATAAATAATTTAAAAACAAAATGAAAGTCTTGATTGAAACTGTTAAGAACGAACTGAATAGAAACCGTAGCGAATATTTCATGAACAAAGTGGCGTCGAGGCAGAGTTTGGAGGATGTTTTCAGTGGTACGGAGATCCTCGGAGCTGGGTCCTACTGAAAAGATGGATATTTTCAGTGGTACGGAGATCCTCGGAGCTGGGTCCTACTGAAAAGATGTTGTGATGTTTCGAAATGGATTATGTCCTTATAGAATTGTTCCCAGAAATATATATACTGAATGGAATGTTACCAGAAATGTGTGCTTCCTTGTGTGTGTGTGTGTCGTGGTTATATAAGCCAAATTGGTAGGTTGAGTCTTGGGTGTTGGCGGGAGGGAGGAACAGTGATCGACACAAAGCAAAGTTGTTCATCGGAGGGGATAATGTTACCCCTGGCAGCAGTAACACCACAAAATATACCCCAGTGACTCACGACACCCTCGGTGACTCATGACTCACCCACCGTCCATACTGAGTCATGATGAGTCGTGTTGATAGTAAGAATAGTCGACCAAGATGGCGTCAATATTACACAAACACGTGATTTGAGTCAGTTTTCTTTAGTAGTTTTTAAGGGGGAACTTACCACAGGGGACTTCAGTCGTTGTCAGCAGTAAGGGAGATGTGGTGGGGTGTTGTCAGCAGTGGGGGTGAGAGGAGGGGGTGTTGTCAACCAGTCTCGTCAGCAGTGAGGGAGGAGGTGTTGTCAGCCAGTCTCGTCAGCAGTGAGGTGAGAGGAGGGTGTTGTCAGCAATGAGGAGGAGGTCAGTGTTAGGAGAGGGGGGTGTTATCAGCCAGTCATCGTGATAGGGTGAGAGGTCAACTGTCAGCCAGTTTCGTCAGCAGTGGGGGTGAGAGGAGGGGGTGTTGTCAGCCAGTCTCGTCAGCAGTGAGAGAGGAGGGGGGGTGGCTGATGCTAGGCCACCAAGAAATGTTTGCTCATCGGGTTGTGTGTTTGGTTATTGGACCACAACGACCAGGGCTTCAGGTGTGGACGGCCAGTCAGTCACACAGTTTTTTCCTTTTTCATAATGTTGGTCTTTTAGTGTTTGTGTGTGTGTTGCTTGCATGACAAATCCGTACACACACACACGCCATAAGCATCTGATGGCTTTGTCAGTTATCCTTGGTCGAATTGCCCCATTGTTGTCTCCTGTTGTATTCCTACACGGTCTATGTACACCGTAAACCTGCCTTGTCTGTACACATCAGCATTGTCTACATACTGTACATGTACATACCAAACTGTTGAGTATTATTATTATTATTATTATTATTGTGCGAGTGACGGTGTGGATGAAGGAAAAAGGGTGACCTCTCCATCACTAGTCACCAGGATACTTGCACCCTCACCACCCTCACCACCCTCACCACCCTCCCCCTCATCAACCTCCATGACTCGTATCTTCTTTTGTGAGGGGGGGGACATCACAACAAACCCTGGTAACTAATATATAACACCCCCCCTCACACGTTCCATATTGTGAGAGCTCTTTCAATACGCCAATGACATCAACCACCATATTTGGTATTGATGTCACTGATTGAGTTTGATGGGCTTGTGGGGACATTAATTGATGATCAACTCTCGTGACTGGGGGGGGGGGAGAATTTCTTGGTCATTCTCCTGGATTGGTTTAGAGATCACCTGTGTGTGTGTGTTACCAAGTGTATTTTTCGGCTCTGATGTTAACAATTTGTGTTCCTTCCCGCAGGTGTGAGGACAGGGAAACCCCGGTGTCGTCGACCAATTCCACCCACTGCTGCACCTGTTGTCTCCACACACAGTGTGTCCAGCGCCACCCCAAAGTCCAGGCCGTCATGGGCTGCTTCCTCCAGAAATTCGACAACTTCCTCAACCGGTCTTTCTACCGGCTGGGACATGTGATCGCCAGCCATTATGGTTACTTCATCATCGTGCCCATCTTCTTGACCGCCATCTTCGCCACGGGCTTCCAGAGGATCAGGTACGAGGATGACCCCGAGTATCTGTTCTCACCCACCACAGGGTTCGCCAGGAACGAGAGGGCCATCATCGAGCAGAACTTCTTCCTCAACTTCAGCTCGGACTTCCACCCGTCGAGGCTGACACGCACGGGAAGGTTCGCCAGATTCATCATCATGGCCAAGGATGGCGGCACACTCTTGCGTAGCTCCGTCTGGAACGACATCATCCTCCTAGACCGTCTGGCACACTCTGTGGGCGTCCAACTCGGTCACAAGTACTCCCGCTACGAAGACTTGTGCGCCATCTGGGACGGCAAGTGCTACGAAAACAACGTCCTCGACCTACAGGAGTTCATGCCGGAGGTGGAGGCGGGGACCTTCGACATCACCTACCCCTTCATGCTCAACCCCAACACCTTCGAGACCTACCTGTTCCCTCACTTCTTCGGTGGCGCCGTCATCAACAGCAGCACAGTGCAGAGTGTCCAGGCTCTCTCCATCTTCTACTGGCTCAGGACCAACACCCCGACGGAGGACCAAGAGTGAGTCTTGTTTACTCTCTCTCTCTCTCTCTCTCTCTCTCTCTCATAAGTTTAGTAAGCCAAGTTAGTTTAACTTAGTTTAAATTAGTTAGTTAAGGTTAATTTGGGTTTGTTTGATGGCTTTCGTTAGCTTTAAAAAAATGTTAATATTGTTACTTTAGCCGCCAAGGACAATGTTAAGTGGGGTTAATTTTACTCAAGACAATGTTGTAGTGAGTTACCCGATCACCTGTGTAGGGCGGAAGAGGACCATTATTCTCTTAGGCCTATAGAGAAAACCCATATATTATTTTTAGGCCTATTGAGGAAATTATATGTGCCTACTAGACTTGTTCCTCCTACATCATTAATACAGTGTTTGTGCATACCAGTCACGTCTCTCCACCATCAGTTAATAATCTTTGTATATTATGACTCACAACGCCTCTCTCCCCCTTCACCACCATCTCCAACACTCTCTCTCCCACCATCTCCAACACTCTCTCTCTCCCCCTTCACCACCATCTCCAACACTCTCTCTTTCCCCTCACCACCATCTCCAACACTCTCTCTCTCCCCCTTCACCACCATCTCCAACACTCTCTCTCTCCTTCACCACCATCTCATGCCTCTCTCCCCCTTCACCACCATCTCCAACACTCTCTCTCTCCCCCTTCACCACCATCTCCAACACTCTCTCTCTCCCCCACCACCACTCACCGCATCTCTTCACCACCAGCGCGGCACTATGGGAGGAGGCGCTGCTACAGGCTATGGACGGACGAGACTTTGGAGAGATAACAGTGGCCAGGTTCGTCTCCCGCACCCTAGAGACGGAGCTGGAGAACAACACCAACTCCGTCGTCCCCTTCTTCGGCGTCACCGTCACTATCATGGTGGTGTTCAGCGTAACGTCCGTCATGATGGGTGACTGGGTACGCACCAAACCCTGGCTGGGTCTTATAGGTGTGGTGTCCGCCGCCCTCGCCTGCGTCACCGCCTTCGGGTTTCTCATCTACCTGGGCGTCGAGTTCATCGGGATCAACATGGCCGCCCCCTTCCTCATGTTAGGTAAGTACCCCGGCTCCTCATTTATTATTTATTTATTGGTTTTCGTTCGTTTGTATTTTGTTCTGCCTTTGTTTCAGTATTATTATTATTATCATCATTATTATTATTATTATTATTATTATTATCATTATCATTATTATTGACAACAAGAAACGTAACACAATTATGTCCCGCCACCGTGACGTCATGGCCACAGGGCTTGACGTGAGATGGTTTTAGTGTCGTGTTGAGGCCGTGACAAAGTACTGGGTGAGGGAGGGAGGGAGGGAGAGAGTTGCTAGGTGAGGGAGAGGACTACTAAGGGAGGGAAACAAGAGAGAAAAATGGAGACCAGATCGAAGAAGCATACACGAGGCTCTCAAACAACACCCAACTGAACCCCGTATACAGTATACTTCCTTGATGGTGAGTCCAGGAATAAACACCCCAACAACTGAACTGTACCACCCCTCGCTGGATCATGGTGGGGAAGAAACCTAAACACATACTGAATATATAAATAAATACGTAAATGAATAATAATAATAATAATGATAAACGTAATTCAAGACGCGTTAAGACTCTCTCAGTAACACCACCTTGCGGGCTGCTCGCTTTAGTGGTAAATATCTCCTGTAATGTGAGCTGTTAAGACCCGAGCCACAGAATATATTGGTTTAATGTTTCACCACGTACTCAGTCGCTCACTCACTCAGTCGCTCACTCACTCACTCGCTCACTCACTCATTCATTCACTCACTCACTCATTCTCCCAGCTACTCGCTCACTCACTCATTCTCCCAGCTACTCGCTCACTCACTCATTCTCCCAGCTACTCGCTCACTACCCCCACACACCTTACCTCATAAATATTTACGACTCGTCTTAAAGAAAACAAAGTTAAAGGGAATTCTTATTTTAACCACCAGAGACTTGAGGAGTATAGTAAGTAGTGATCCTTGTGTGTGTGGTGTAATGGTCAGCATCCTCGCCTCGCAAGCGTGCGGACCCGGGTTCGATCCCCGGGCAAGTTTCTTTACGCCATTTGCCTCTGTATACCCAACAGTAATTGGGAACCTGATGTTAATTGATTTGCGTATGGTGTTCCGGGGTAATGGTTAACCAGTGCAGTTGGCGAGTTGTCCGGTCTTCTCGGACTATTCCTTGACACTGGGTCATGCAGCTCGTTAACTTAGGGTGTGGTGGTTGCGTTGGCGACACAACCTTGGGCCCGCCATCCTCGTAGCATGAGGGGCAGGTATTATTGTACGTGTCAATACACCTCTACTGGATACCTAATTTGTCCCTGGGTTCTTCTTAGTTATCTCAGGTAGCCAGGTGTGTTAATTACCATGAGTGAGTGTCTGGGTAAATAGTGGATGTGGGTATATGTGTAAGTGGGTGTATTTGGGTAGATGTGAGGATGTGGGTGTATTTGAGGCTTTGAGAGTGAATCTTGTAGGGCACCCCGTGCACCACTCGTCCACACACACCCACTGCCCACACACACCACTCCCCACACACCCCCCACACACACACACACACCCTCCCCCAACACACACACACCCACTCCCCCACACACACACACTCCACCCCACACACACAATCCCCACACACACACACACCCACACCACCCACACACCCACCAACACACACACCCACTCCTCTCCCCCACACACACACACACTCTTTTCGAACTTGTAATATTTTACTAATTGCTACTGAGTGCTTGTGTTCCGGAGTGCTCTTGTGTGTTCGAGTGCTTGTGTGTTCCGGAGTGCTTGTGTGTTCCGAGTGCTTGTGTGTTCCGAGTGCTTGTGTGTTCCGAGTGCTTGTGTGTTCCGAGTGCTTGTGTGTTCCGAGTGCTTGTGTGTTCCGAGTGCTTGTGTGTTCCGAGTGCTTGTGTGTTCCGAGTGCTTGTGTGTTCCGAGTGCTTGTGTGTTCCGAGTGCTTGTGCGTTCCGGAGTGCTTGTGCGTTCCGAGTGCTTGTGCGTTCCGAGTGCTTGTGTGTTCCGAGTGCTTGTGCGTTCCGAGTGCTTGTGTGTCCCGAGTGCTTGTGTGTTCCGAGTGCTTGTGTGTGTGTGTGTGTTGGTGGGCTGGTTGGGCCGGTGAAAAAATAGTGATGGTGGTGGCGGCGGTAATGGTGGTTGTTTTGGTGGTGGTAGTACATGTAGCTGTGATGGTAGTAGTCGTGGTTATTGGTAGTGGCGCGAGTGAGTGTACTGGACAATGGTGTCAAGGCGAGTGTGTGGCTGCTGACGACACGCACACACACACACACATCAGGTATAGGCGCACATGTGTATATCTAAGTGTACGTGACAGCAAGAATTATAAATGTACAAGATTATATGTACACGGAGAGCCACGATATGTGTACATCGTGTGTACAGTAGGCATAATAACTGGTGTACATGATCAAACGTACACGAGTCGGCTAGAGGGACTCGGTAGTTGGCACTGCTCACATATCGACAATGTCATTCACCTGTTAATTAAGGAGAACACCTGAGAATGCTTGACCTGTTTTTCTTGAATGACCTGTTTGTGTGTTTGTGTGTGATGTTAGTGTCTCTTATTTTGTCTGTGATCATAAAGCTTACCTGCCCTTTCCTCACTCTTCACCCCTCACTCATCCCCCTCACACCTCACTCTTACACCTCACTCTTCACACCTCACTCTTCACCCCTCATCCCTCACTCTTCACCCTCACTCTTCACCCCTCACTCTTCACCCCTCACTCATCCCCTCACACCTTACTCTTCACCCCTCACCCCTCATTCATCCTCACACCCTCACTCTTCACCCCTCACACCTTACTCTTCACCCCTCACTCATCCCTCTCACACCTCACTCTTACCCTCACTCCTCACTCTTCACCCCTCACTCATCCTTTCACCCCTCACTCATCCTTTCTCACCTCACTCTTCCCTCACCCTTCACCCTCCCTCACTCATCCTTTCACCCCTCACACCTCACTCTTCACCCCTCACTCTTCCACACCTCACTCATCCCCTCACACCTCACCGTACCTAGAAAACCAAGGATGTGATTTGGTCAGTTGATAATACAAGTAATGTAATGTTGCCTTGTCAGTTCCGCCTCCCTCCCTCCCTCCCCCTCCCTCCCTCCCTCCCTCCTCCCTCCCTCCCTCCCTCCCTCCTCCCCTCCCTCCCTCCCTCCCTCCCCTCCCTCCCTCCCTCCCTCCCCCTCTCCCTCCCCCTCTCTCCCTCTCCCTCCCTCTCTCCTCGTGATAACCAGGAACACGTGAACCTCCTCGCTTCCTCACGTTAACTCACACATGTAACCTACCGTCCGATTGGTACACACACACACACACACACACACGTACGTTTGTCTGTCGGTGACCACACAAATCCACACTTATGTACACTCACTGACACGCGCCCTGATGGTGTACATGTAGGCAATACTGGACACGTAACTCCACACAGGTACACATAACGGTACACATGGTCAAGCGTGTACATCACCATTCACTAGTAATACACACGGTCACAGGTACACATAACGGTACGTACAGTCACTCACGTTTACATAGTTGTAAACGTTATAAAAATGTTCACACTAGACTAATTGTACAGGTGAACCTCGTGTGTGTGTGTGTGCGCGTGTGTGTGTGTGTCCCTCAGGTTGTCTTAACATATGGTCCCCCATTCTCTCACAACCAACCCTGATCCACTCACCACCACTACTAACATCTCCATCACACTTCCCCAACCACCATTTCCTTCACCACCACCTCACCACCACCACTACTCACCACCACCACCACCTACCCTCACCCCACCACTACCCTCTCACCCCTCCCACCACCACTACCCTCACCCTCCCACCACCACCACTCCTCCTCCCACCACCACCTCCCCTCACCCTCCCACCACTACCATCACTCACCACCCACGTCACCACCCTCACCACCACGTCACCACCCTCCCACCACCACTACCATCACCACCCTCACCACGTCCACCACCCCTCCTGCATCACCACCCTTACCACTATGAAGGTGTCAGAAATTTGGCCTGTCGCTTGGGCGCCCTGCAGACTGTAATACTACTGAAGAATATGGATAATAGCTGAGTTCTTTTATACAGGATAAAACCAAGACTGTTGTGGGCTCCTGGGAATAGAATAATAAGGGTAGTGCCCAGTGTAACAGCATCCTTGGACCTGAGGGGGTGAGCAGGAGGGTGAGCAGAAGGGTGACAGGAAGTGACACCTCGTATATTTGTGGTATATTGTCTCTGAATTTTTTGGTGTCCTTTAACTGACGTTGCACCCCACCCAGCCTTACCCCACTCAGCCTTTCCCCGCCTCACCCCATCTAGCCCCACCCTTCCCCGCCCCACCCTAAGGCAGACAAGTGTCACAGCAGAAAGATTGTTGTGAATGAGTCAATGTTTCTCACTTAGGCAAATGATGATGACGGAGACATTACTTGTGCTTGTTTTCTGTGTCGTAAGGTGTGGGTGGTGGCCGTGTGTGTGTGTGGCAGTGGTGGAGTGTGGAGTGTGGCGTGTGTGTGTGTGAAGACGTGGTGGGTGTGTGTGAACGTATCTGGCGTGTGTTGTGTGAAGACGTGGTGTGTGTGTGAACGTGGTGTGTGTGTGTGTGTGTGGGTGGTGAGCTGTGTGTGAACGTGGTGGGTGTGTGGAGTGGTGGTGTGTGTGTGTGTGAAGACGTGAAATTGGGTGTGTGGGTGGTGGTGTGTGTGTGTGTGAACGTGGTGGGTGTGTGGGTGGTGGTGTGTGTGTGTGAACGTGGTGGGTGGTGGTGTGTGTGTGAAGACGTGGTGGGTGTGTGGGTGGTGGTGTGTGTGTGTGAAGACGTGGTGGGTGGGTGGGTGGTGGTGTGTGTGTGTGAGACGTGTTGGGTGGGTGGGTGTGTGGCAATGTGAACGTGGTGGGTGTGTGGGTGGTGGCGTGTGTGTGTGAACGTGGTGGGTGGGTGGGTGGTGGCACGTGGCATGTGTGTGTGAAGACGTGGTGGGTGGTGGC